TGTAGCCTTTACTCCGTCCGAGCCAGGGTTTTTCATTGTTATCGTTAGCGTGATTAATCTGACGGTGCCGACGCAGGAAGGGAGCTTTACGACCAAGATGGCCCTGTACAAGAACTCGTCCTACAAGCACCCCTACCGGCAGGGCGAGGTGGTGCTCACCACCCGGGACGTGCTCTACGTGGGGGTCTTTGTCGTCGGGGCCGATTCCAACCACTTGATCTTGATGCTGAACAAGTGCTACGCGACCCCCTCGCGGGACAGCAACGACAAGCTGCGCTACTTCATCATCGAGGGAGGGTGAGCTACCGCGGGCCGGGCGGCCCGGCGCGGCTTGTCGGTTTTCTTCGGGTACGGCGGGGTGGGTGCTCGACGAGCCGGCGTAGTCGGTCGGAGCAGGGGAGCTGTCGGTCAGCGAGGCGGTCGTCCGAGATCTGGAAAGCGCGAGGAACAGGGCAGGTCGCTTTGTCAGCGGAGGCGTTAGTTCGCTTAGCGCGGAGCTAGTCGGAACCTCGACGTGCGACAACGTCCTGGCTGCAGAAAGAAGCAGCCTTTCTCGTGCTGCCGATGCCACGGGCGACGTGGTGTCCACGGGAGGCCGAGGGATGTGGACTGTGGTGGAGGCGACTTGGGAAGCGGGAGTACGATGAAGACGGAAGTGCCAGAGGGAGGTCACGCTCCAGAGGCGGGGCACGACGCCCTCGTCCAGAGAAGGCCGACACGGCGGGACCGGAGCGTGCCGCCGCGGGACCCGGGGCGAGAGGGGTCCTTTGAGGGAGGGTCCCGGTCACGGGAGGGCCGGGACAAGCGTGGGTGCTTTGCGCAGGTGCCAAAACGTGAAGGACAATACCATCGGCATCGAGGAGAACGGGGTGTCATTGACGTGTCGCTTCCACGTCACCGTCTTCAAGTTCATCGGCGATTACGACGAAGTTCACCTTCATTGCGCCGTCTCGCTCTGCGATTCGGAGAAATACTCCTGTAAAATAGTAAGCGGGGCAAGCGTCGAGGGACGGGTCGCTCGTACGCTGGGGTCCGGCAAAGCGCGGCGAGCCCGGCCAACCCGGCGTCAGAGGCGCGGCC